TCAAACTGTTAGGTTTGTTTCTCTTAACATCTACGTTATATATTGTGGTATCCATGTCAAGGACATAGAGACCGTTGGTCATTTTTGCACTTGCATAAAATATATCATTTCTAAAGACAGAAAGAGTTTTGTCTTTTACAACGAATGAAAATCCTGCTTTGTCAAGGCAGGATACAGAAATGATGTTTCTGCTCATACTGGGTACAAACAGACAATTATTCAAATGCAATATTAGACCACTAGGTAGAGATAAACTATAGGTTCCGACGGCCAATGCATAGACGAGTGCGCCATTGCCGACTTTTAGTTGTATCTCTCCCTCCGTCAATTGTCTACGTTCATGCAGATCCTGCATAGAAGTACAGATGTGAGAACCACATCCAGTATCCATAACCCAAGAGGTGATATCAGACATATTGACTTCAATAACGAAGATACCTGAGGTTTGAGGTTTCTTTCCCTCTTTCCTCTCTGCCAGTAATTTTGCGCAGTTGCGCCTCCAGTGGCCCTTTTTGCCACAATAATAGCATACAGCAGACTTCTTCTTAGCTCCTTCTTTGGGTTTCAACGAAGAGGAGTTGAACGCTGGCTTGGGTTTCTTAGAACCCTTGCGCTTGGTCCCGGCCGGCGAACGTGGCTCACTCTTCTTCGCAATAGTACTGCCCTCTACCATCAGGACAGACTTACCCTTGCCCTTCCCTAGACTCTCCTCAGCAGTTGTGAGGAATTTCAATAGCTCAGGCATAGTCATCTCTAGTTTGTTCATGTAGAAGTTCACTACAGTTTGACTATACTCAGCTGGTAATGATCCCAAGATGAGATCAGTTGCCAGCATAGGGTGCAACGGGGCGTCCAGTTTTTCAAGAGCTTCGATCTGACCGATCATCTTGAGAACGTGGGGACCAACTGGGTTACCCGTTGCCAGCTTACTGGAAAACAGAGTCGTAGAGATTTTGAAACGTTCATGTCTAGCCTGGCCTTGGTATAGACCTTTCAAGCGAGTCATCATAGGATGAGCTTCCATGTCCTTATGGAGCCTTTGGAGCTCCGGAGTCATGGTGGCTAGCATGAGACATCTCACATCACGTGCGTCATCTTCATACTTCTTGTACGAAGTAATTTCTACAGCACGGGCGTTCGCTTCAGGAGCTTTGGGAGGCTCAGAGGTAAGGACGTAGAGCTTTTTCTCGCATTCGAGAACAATCTTAAGATTCATCTCCCAATCAAGAAAGTTGGTTCCAGATAATTTTTCCTTTTCTAGAACATATCGCAGGTTGAAAGGGTTGTTGTTGTTTGCCATCTACAGAAAATTTTGCAAACTAGG